CCCCCCCCCGGTTCACCTGTCACCCTACTCTCTGCCCCCCCCCGGTTCACCTGTCACCCTACTCCCCACACCCCAGTTCACATGTCGCCTTACTCCCCGCCCCCCAGTTCATGTGTCACCCTCCTATTTTACTGTGGACTTTTCTTCACAAACCCCTCACACGTCTGGCAAGTGGCCTCTCACACTGATGTTTTTCAGACTTTCAAGATTTCCTTCCCCAAATTGCCTACTTAAGTTGCAATTCTGAAAATTATAAAGCCAATAGAGAGCTGTTGTGTGCCCAGCACCTAGTACACTGCAGGCTCTGCACAGTGTATTTTAGGAATGGTTTCTTTAAAGGCTGAAGACCTTCTTGGCCCAGTTACTTCATTAAGGCCGATTAGCTATGTCTTAAAAAGCTCTGAAACTGAGGCAGCAAGTGAGAAATGGTAGCTGGGAGGAGGTTTTAGGTGATCCTTCCCAACAGTAGGTGCTGTGTCTGGGCTGGAGAGTGTGTAGAGGGGTTTTGTTTATGTTTAAATAAAGGAGGTAGACTGTATTTAATGTAATAAAGTGGAAACAAAAGCAGAGAATAAAGATACTCAAATTAATACTTGGTTTGTTTGTTTTCCATATTTACTGTAGCAGTTTTCAACCTGTAAGGTGTGACCCCTTTGGGAGTTGGATGACCTTTCACAGGGATTACTCACCTAAGGCCATCAGAAAACCCAGATATTTACATTACAGTTCATAAAAGTGGCAAGGTTACAATTATAAAGTAGCAGCAAAATGACTTTAGAGATTAGGGGGTCACCACAACATGAGGAACTGTATTAAATAAAGGGCAGCAGCATTAGGGTGGTTGAGAACCGGGTGTTCTGGATCGCGTGTTACTCAGAAAGACAGATGAAAGTTACTGTTTCTCTTTCCAGAAACAACACTGGACACTGCCTGTTGTGCATGGAATTTAAGGGATTTCATGTGCACTCTGTTGAGTACATGGGGTCTTGCCTTCCTTTTCTTCTGATAGTCCCTAGTCGAGGTTCCTGATGGAGGAGAGCCTTGGGTGTTAGACTTTAGGTGGCTTACGAAATAACCAGTTGTTTCCTAAACTAGTCATCAAATACTATTGACTTTATCGGGCCACGGCAAAATACAAAGAATAAAATAGAAACCGTCAGATTGAACTGTGTACTCGATCTCTTCAGATATGTGTGCTCTGTTCAGAGTCAGACTATAAGATGTGAGTTTGTTGGATTAAGTGTAAGCTGGAGAAATGCCCTTCCAAACAACCTCACTGTTGTGCTGAGAAAACTGAGTCCCTTAAAGACTGACTTGATTTCAGAGCGCACCCCCCCCCCAGTGTAGTTAAGTGGCATAGCTGAAAGGGAACTGATGTTCGTTGCAGATGTTGACAATGTACACCTCTAGCTTTCTGAGACAGAATTGTGGAGGTGTTGATTGGTTAAGATTTGGCTGGTTCATCTGCCTTTTTTTGAACCCTCACTGTTGACCTCTGAGAATCTGGTGTGGGTTTTCCAGAGAGCCACACCACATCTTAGGCATTCTGATTTGGCTGACTGCTCACCTAGATCCTAGAATCCTAGAATTGCACCATTAATCAGATCAGAAGCGCTTCAGAACAAGATATAAGAGGTTAAGTTCTTGTCCAAACTAATATATATATATATATATATTTTTTTTTTTTTTTTCTGGATTTTCGAGACAGGGTTTCTCCGTAGCTTTTTGGTTTCTGTTCTGGAACTAGCTCTTGTAGACCAGGCTGGCCTCGAACTCACAGAGATTCGCCTGCCTTTGACTCCCAAGTGCTGGGATTAAAGGCGTGTGCCACCACCGCCCGGCCCAAACTAATAAATATATCTTGAGTTGTTTGCTCATTCATTTGAATTGAAGGCATCTTGTGGTGGTGGGTGTTGAACTTAGATATTGAGTGAATTCTTTCTCAAACTTGAATACCCTGGGAAAGTCCTTGTGAAAATTCTGGTTTGATCCAGTTGAGATTTCTGCATTCCCTAAAGATTCCTGGCTCATTCTGCCTCTGGCCCTGGGATTTCAGGTTTAGCAGCAGTGTTTGGCCTGCCTTGTCACTGTAGCCGGAAAGGCAGCTGTGTGTGCCTTTCCCATTGCCCGCCATTTACAGCCACCTCCCCAGCCTGAGTGACAGGGAGGTCTTCTGCAGCAAGCGCCATCCTGGTGTGTCTACACTCAGTTATCTTTCACTTGCATTTTTCAAGCTTTTGTACAAAGCTCGATTTTCCAAATACCTGGGATCTTTACTTTTAAAAAGAGTTCTTTTCTAAAGCATTACATAATTCCTTTTCTCAAAAAACGGATTGAACTTTCCTCTTCTCTTGAGGTCAAAACCGTCGTTTTGGAAGCTTTCTTTGGGATGGATGTTGAGCTAGCTGTATGTAAAACAAATAATGGCCTCAAAGCCTCACGTGTTGTTCTTCTGTTTCTTGTGTTTTGTCTTTTCCCATTGACAAATAATAATGACTGTCTCGAAGCGGCTGCTTTTCCCTTTCCATTTTAATTGATTAGTTCCGACCTGAGAGGCTAGATATTGGGTTTGTAAGAAATATGTTTGGGGTTTATGCTCAGAAGGACCTGCCCCTCAGAAGGGCTTTCAAGGCAGGTGTAAATGAGCCTCCAGTAGAGAGACCCTCTGTTCAACCTCTCCTGATAGGCAGCGCATGCAGCAGCTACTTGTTTGCCTAGTGCCTTTTCCTTGGTGCCCCGTGAGTGTGTGAATGTGTCTGTGAATATGTGTGTGGGTGTGTCTTTGAGCGATTGTGTGTGTATGTGTAATTTGTGCTGAGTTTGTATGGTATGGGATGTTTGTGTGTCTGGTGTGGTGTATGTGTGGTGGGTATGGGATTTGTGTGTGTGTTTTGTGGTGTGTGTGTTGTGAATGTATATAATGTGTGGGGTGTTTGGTGTGTGTGTGTCGTATTGTGTGGTGGTGGGTGTGGGTGTTTGTGTGGTGTGTGTTTCGTGGTATCATGTGCGGTGTTTGTATGTGGTGTGTGGGTGTGAATTTTTCTGTGTTTATCTGTAGTGGGTGTAGGTGCTTGTGTGATGAGTGATATATTTGTGTGTAATGTGTATGTGTGTATGGTTTTAACTGTGTGTAGGCCAGAGGTTGACGTAGATGTCTCCCATCACTTTTTGCCTTATTTTTTGAGAAAGTCTATTCATTAGACTGTAGCTCACCTATTGGCTAGGCTAGCTTGCAGGTGAGCCTCACTTAACCCCCTCACCCATTGTTAGAGCTAGTGTTACACGAGTGTTACAGGGACCTGCTATTGTGTGTAGCTTTGGTTTTCCTTCTCTCTGTCTGTCTCTGTCTCTCTTTCTGGCAAGTACTTTAGTCACCGTCTCCCCAGCCTTTCTAGATACTTTTTCAACAGGTTATTATTTCTCTAACATTATGCTCAAAGTACAGCTGAAGGTGGTTTGTAAGGTACTGATGCTTGGCGTCTTAGCTTGCAGTTGATATTCCAGTAGCTGTGATAAATAAGCATTACTCGGGCTCCACCTAGAACAGGGCTAGGTAACCTGTCTCTTACACACTGTGCCTGCAGTGGATTTGCCAGTGAGTTTTAATAATAATGACAGCGCAGAGCATGATCTTCTGACTGACTTAAGGATAAGGATGCTAGGGATTGAAAGACCCATTCTTGGTGTGTACTGTGTTAGTTCTGGTGACAGCTGGTTCTCATTTGCTTAGCCCTTGTCTTGCCAAGAAGTCACTGTGCAGGTGAGTGGCCCTGGAGCGTACTTCATGGAGGGGCAGCGAGTAGCCTCTGTGCTTTGAGCACTTGAGAGTCATCCTGTAGATAGAAGTAAGAGACCGTCCTTATAAACAGTAAGCTGTGTAGCAGCTCCAGTAGGTGCTGTGTTACCAGCCACTGCTGGGGGAGCCTGATTCCCATCTAAAGCAGAGAGTCCTTTTGCCTTTGATCATTTTAAATATCACTGTGCTGTGTTAGAGCTCGTGGATTATTTTATTTAAAATTTGTGTAACAAGATTAAGTTTAGCCATGAGAGTGGAGTGGATTTTGAGATCTGAACAGAGCCCCCTCTGACATATTTTTAGGAAATTACAGTATCTAAACACTGATTACCAGATTTGTTTCATTTGAATGCTATTTTCATATCTAGAATTTGTCCTGTGCTTCATTCAGCTCAGCTAAGCGTGCTGGTATAAGCTCATCGTAATTAACAGGCTTTTGTGACCTGGGACTCGTGTCCAAAGATCACTGCATAGCTAGAAAACATTGGAAAGCAAGCTAAATGCACGGCATCCATAAAGACTGGAAAAAGACCTCCCCACGCCAGCAAAACTGTACTTAAATGTGTTTGGTTTGGTTTTAGTACACTGATTCCCTTCAGCTTTAGAGACTAGAGAATCCTGTTCAAAATAGTTGCAAGTAAATGCTCCTAAGAGGAAGATTTTTGCCAGAAGGGGAGATTAGACATATGTGTTCCCGTTCTTTGTTAATGGGATTTGCTTGTTTGGGTTGAAGTGAAAATGTTCCTGTACTAAAGCGAAATAAACCCCTCCCTTCCTGTTTGCAAATGTATTTCATTTGCTGTTTATCTTATTTAAATATACAGTAGAACAGAAAATGTAACTGCTGTTCCTTTAATATCAGAGCTGTGCGTGTTACAATAGGTGTCACTGTTTGGCTTGGTCCAATCCTGATTGGTGGCTTCAGCTATTGGCTCGGAGCGCTGGCTGTCTGACTCCGGCTGCAGGGCTGTAATACCTACTCTCCTCTCTCCGATCCATTCACCACACAACTTCGCCGGCCGAACAGACTCGCTGGGCTCGGCACATCTTGCTAACCTAATTCAGAAAGCAAGCGCCACAGCTCTGCCTGCCGCCTCTGCTCAGCGTAGCCTCTTCAGGTGATCCAGAAAACGGCTGTTTTTATGAGCAGATAAGAAAAACAGGAATCATGATGGGAATGTATTTAACAGATCCGGTCCTGGATAAAACTTAAAGCCAGTTGCTCTTCAACATAGTGAAAAGGTCACCTTGCCTGGCTGAGAAAAGCAGCAAAATTCCAGCTTGTCTGTTTCTTTTATCATCTTAGCTCTGGCTAGCCTCTCTGCTTGGATGTTCGAGCAAATTTGGGATATCTAGCTCTAAAGAGAGACATCCTGTACTCATGGTAGATGATAAGGAAAAGAACATGAAATGTCTCACCTTCTTCTTGATGCTTCCAGAGACGGTAAAGAACAGGTCCAAGAAAGGTTCAAAGAAAGCAAACAGCGGCGGCGGCGGCGGCAGTGGCAGCGGCGGTGGCAGCAGTGGCAGCGGCAGCAAGTTGCCCCCAGTTTGTTATGAAATAATTACCTTGAAGACTAAGAAGAAGAAGAAGATGGCTGCTGATATATTCCCCCGCAAGAAACCAGCCAGCTCCAGCAGCACCACTGTCCAGCAGCACCACCAGCACAATCTCTGTAACAACAACCTCATCCCAGCACCCAACTGGCAGGGTCTTTATCCCACCATCAGAGAAAGGTAAGTGCCGGCCGGGGTTTACTTTCAAAGTTTGCCTGTGCTGAAGTTTCTGTTTTTGCATGACCTGTAGTGCATTTTAATATGAATCCCCGTTTCCTCTTTTCCCAGAACCTTTGCTGGTAATGGAAAGCCACCTTGTATCTTTTCCAGAACAGTACAGCTGTTTTCCTCTTAGATTAAAAAAAAAAATGTTTTTTGCAAGCTGTAACATTTAAGCAGCAGGCGTGTGTCTGTGGAACAGAGAAGAGAAACCCTTCATTTGTCCTAAGCCATGTGAAAGTTTGGCTAACTTTTGAAACTTTACTTACTTCCTATGTGTCTGCGGTGATCTCAGACAGTTGTGCAGCTGGACCCTTTATTTGCTTTTTTTGCTGTGAAGTCACTGAACTTTTGTTCTTAGCTTGAGTAGCTTCTTTAAGTTTTGCATGTTGGGGAAAGAGGTGGTAAGAATGCAGACCGCTGTGAATTAATGAATTGCCTCTGTTTGTAGAAATGCGGTGATGTTCAATAATGACTTGATGGCAGATGTACATTTTGTGGTTGGACCACCAGGTGGGACTCAGCGGTTGCCAGGACACAAAGTAAGCAACAGCTGCATTACCGGTTTAGTCTTGAGATTTATGTCGAGAGACCCTCACAGCCCGGAGCCTGGTGTGGGCAGCTTGCCGATGGCAGGCAGTGCACATTTCACCGGCTTACAGAGAAAGCAGACCCTTTCCAAGGGCTTTTTAGCCACACTTAATTTTGTCTTTGTTTCCTTCTATGTGGTTATATATATATATATCACACAGAGCACGCCCTTTTCACTCTCCAGTGATAGGAAGCGTTGTAACAGGTTTGGAAAGTCTGCTGTTTACTGTTCCTATAGATAGCAGATAAATAAGCTTTGGTTTTACTTATTTCACAGTGCGGGGGTTTATTAATGTCAAGGCTTTGAGCTATTAATAGAGATCACCTCCTGTGTGGCAATCTTATGCTCCCTGCCAGGGTGCACGTACTTTGGCTGCTGTAGAGAAGCAGGTTAGGGACTTTACATCCCCCACCCCTGATTTGCTAGTTGTTTTTGGGATTGACTCGCTGAAAATGCTTTCAGTTTAGTGCGTGAAATGAGATTTCCTTTTCTCCACAGTATGTCTTAGCTGTTGGGAGCTCAGTGTTCCATGCAATGTTTTATGGAGAACTTGCTGAGGACAAAGATGAAATCCGAATACCGGACGTCGAACCTGCTGCTTTCCTCGCCATGCTGAAGTAAGCATTGTTTGTCTGTTGGGGAAGAGTTCGCTTGTGCTGTTGGTGCCCTGCTGGCTTCAAAGTCAGATGGAAGTTCTCTGCGAGGAAAGAGTCTGAAGAGAGAGGGTGCTGCTTGCCTTGTAAATGGGTTGGAGGAAACTGCTCTTCATTTTCCGCGGAAGTCACATGGAGTGTTGCAGGCGTTTAGAGTCTTGTCCTAGCCTAGAGCCCTAGGGGCAAACAGCTTATGTACTGAGCTGCTCTTTAGCGACATTTTAGAAGAAACACAGCTTTCTGGTCTAGGCGTTATTTAATAGGTGTGTTCTCTAGAAAGCAGTGTGTGTTAAGAAGGCTTTAGAGAAATCTCCCTTCACTTCAGAATTGTAGAAATTATGTGCCTTGCTTGGTTACCAGCACTGGGGAGACGCATGTCTGCTGAGCTGTCTCGTGCTGCCAGAAGTGGAACTTGTCAACTGATCTTTGCCCACACATATTTCACACACAAAACTGGACATGTTTATGGTGATGAAGAGAATTTTGAATGGTAGTTTCCTATAGATTTATTTAAGCAGTCTTCAATTAGTAATATAGCAGTCTAAAAAGGACTAGGTAGACTAGCTACATATTTACATAAAATGTTTCATATTTTATAGGTCCTTTGCAAACTCTTGCATTTTAATCAGGTCCTAAGAATCGTCTTTACCGACAACAGGGTAGTTTACTATATGATTAAGCCCAGTTACTGGAAGTTATAGTTATGAGGTTTTTTTTTTTTCTAACTGTATTTTCCACACACTAACATGAGTTCAAGGTTATCTGCTGGTCTGGGGATTTAAGTTCACTGGAATAAATTAAAAAAAAAAAAAGTTTTTGAAGAGAAATTACCCAGTGGGCCAACCAGTTTAACAGTAGTCTCACAAACTGCTAAAAACAATTAGTGTTTATTATTTACTGCCTGCTGAAAAATAAGTTATAGTCAATTCTAGTGTCTGTAGGTACTTAATTCCTTGGTCCTGTTTATAGCTTTGAAATCTGAGTGGACTAGAGCTTTCGCAGTGGGAAGCAGGGGCATTAAAGGCGAGTGGGTATGTGAGGTACAGTAACTGCTCCATCACTTCTTAGCCTTCGGAGTCTATGAGACACAGTCGTCCAGAAGCCTCTTCACCTGCCTGTGACGTCAGCTCTCTGTGACAGTGCCAGTCTCTTGTTGAGTGGGATGCCACCCTAGTTAACGTTGTGGTCTCACTGAAGTCAAGTAGAGTATTGTATCCATGTGCACAACCAGGAAACATGAGCAAGAATGGCAGAAGGTTGCATCTTCCCCAAGTCATACTAGTACAGTTTTTAAAAATTATCCGTGGGATCAGGTGGAGGGTCAGAGTAGCACTGCAGTGGGCTCCCTTTGTCTTGCTGGTGTGCTGTAGTTGAGACAGTAGCTGAGGTTTCCTCCTTTTGCATCCTGGGTGAGTAGCTGTGTGTTTAGGAAAGGCGTGTTAGCTCCTGTGAATTCCAGGGTGAGACTGCAAATCCAGCCCGTGTTCTGGATCTCCCCTAGTCTAGCCTCTGGGCAAAGCAGCTGTACTACAGCTGTGTTGTTGAGTGGTCTTGCCAGTGTAACCGGCTTAGCCGTTTAGAGAAGAGCATTTCTTGGAAGCTAAAGGCCCTTCTGTGTGTGACTGTGCAAACTTTGGCTTCTATGTGTATGTTTATATTTTTTTCTTGGAAAAGCTATTTTTGATTTCCTAACTTAGGTATGTTTTACAAACATGAAATAAAGTACCACAAAAACCCATCAGATAAAATATTCTAAGCTTTAGTGGAAAACTTGAAAGGATAAATTTTCTCAGTGTTGTTCACTGGTAGCGTTCTTATTGACTATTTTTTTTTTTGTCCTGTAATAGAAGATAGCAGGTGGTCTCCACCTTTACATACTGTTGTGAGAAATTGCTACCATCCCCCAAACAACAAGAAGTATTTCATCTCTTGAGATAGGTATGGCTCACCAAATCACAGAATTAATGTGCATTGAAGCTCTTTGCTTTGTCTTGTAATAGATGCATGTGAAAGCAATGTATTCTTCAGTTCTGAAAGTAGGAGGAATATGTGGGAGACACATGAGATCAGAAAGTTAGAACTCAAAAGATTTTGTGAAGTTAACTGAAAAGGTAGTATTGAAGTTTGAATTTGATGATTCATTGAACTTAGAACGACTTCAGAAATATTATATATCAGATTTTATTTTATATTTTAGAAAATTCCAAAATCTTTCAAGTGTAATTTTTGACCTTAGTGTCAGAAGACTAAGTTTTTATTTGAATGTGCAAAAATCAATTGGAATAAAACTAGATATATTATACTTTAACCTTGAAAACTCCGAGGTTAAGGGTACTGCTCTTGCAGAGGACCAGAGTTTAGGTTCTAGAACCCTATCAGATAGCGCACAACTGCCTACAGTTCCAATTCCAGGGGATCCAGTGCCCTCCTCTGGTCTTCAGGAGTATTGAGGTGTACAAACATACACACATGCATATACAACAATATATAATAAATATTGTGCTAAACTGTGGGGTTGGGGATGGCAATGCTTTAACTTAATACAGTATAATAGAATTTTACTGTGTTTTCATAATCTTATCTGATATATAGGCATCCTTTAGATAATTGCAGTAACTCCTGTTTTGTTGAAAATATACAGAAAATGTATAGGATAGAGGATGAATGATAACACAGAGTTAATCCCTTTGATTACATAAGCTTAGTGCTGAGCTGAAATATTATTACCTTATGAATGTGTTTCAGATGTTTTTCAAACATGTTAGCAGTAGCTGTCACATAAAATCATATTCTTGGACAGGCTTGAAGGCAGTGGCTTCCTTCCTTGCCGCACATGCTCATTTTGTGGAAATCCGCTTACACGTTGGATGCTTTCTTTCAGATACATCTATTGTGACGAAATTGACTTGGCTGCGGACACAGTGCTGGCCACACTGTATGCTGCCAAAAAGTACATAGTTCCTCACCTTGCCAGAGCCTGTGTTAATTTCCTGGAGACCAGCCTGAGCGCCAAGAACGCCTGTGTGCTCCTGTCTCAGAGCTGCCTGTTTGAGGAGCCAGACCTGACACAGCGTTGCTGGGAGGTGATTGATGCTCAAGCCGAGTTAGCACTCAAGTCTGAGGGGTTCTGTGACATCGACTTCCAGACACTCGAAAGTATCCTCCGCAGGGAAACGCTGAATGCCAAAGAAATAGTGGTTTTTGAGGCAGCCCTAAACTGGGCTGAAGTAGAATGCCAGCGGCAAGATCTGGCCTTGAGCATTGAAAATAAACGCAAGGTCCTAGGAAAGGCACTGTACTTGATCCGCATCCCCACCATGGCCTTGGATGACTTTGCAAATGGTGCTGCGCAGTCCGGGGTATTAACTCTCAACGAGACCAATGACATCTTCCTCTGGTACACTGCATCCAAAAAACCAGAGCTGCAGTTTGTGAGTAAAGCCCGCAAGGGCCTGGTCCCCCAGCGTTGTCACCGATTCCAGTCATGTGCCTACCGGAGCAACCAGTGGCGCTATCGGGGTCGCTGTGACAGCATCCAGTTTGCAGTTGATAAGAGGGTGTTCATCGCAGGCTTTGGGCTGTATGGCTCCAGCTGTGGCTCTGCAGAGTACAGCGCCAAGATTGAACTCAAACGTCAGGGCGTTGTCCTGGGCCAGAACTTGAGCAAGTACTTCTCAGACGGATCCAGCAATACCTTCCCTGTGTGGTTTGAATATCCCGTGCAGATTGAGCCAGACACCTTCTACACAGCCAGCGTGGTGCTGGATGGCAATGAACTCAGCTACTTTGGACAAGAAGGCATGACGGAAGTTCAGTGTGGCAAGGTGACTGTCCAGTTTCAGTGCTCCTCAGACAGCACCAACGGCACTGGGGTACAGGGAGGGCAGATCCCCGAACTCATATTCTATGCCTGAGCCTTCCTTTCCTTGCGCATCATGAGGCACCCACATGGGCCTCCTTGCCTGACGCTTAGCTCGTCTCCAGATGTGTGGTCAGCACAGGTGATTTGTAATGAATGAAGCAGTAGGCAGTTTCTAATGTCTTTGAACCTTTTAATTATGTACAGGCTAAAATGCAACATTCCGCTTTTAACTATATGCTTAGAAGAGCCAAGTTCTTACTCAGGCTTTGTGGTCTTAGAGTTGCGTCTGTATGCCTAGGGAAATCATGTGCTTCTCCAAGTGCCCACCAACCTCCACTTTTGTACCTCTGAAGAAGAGTTTGGATCGACTTGAATTTTCTTTGATGAGTGGAAGTATGTATTCTAAAGTAATAGCATCAAGTTATTTTTCAACGAAACCCTTCTCTTCCTCTCAAAATAAATAAAAACAAAAGACAGGTAAACCTCAGTGTACAATTTTGAAAGAATATTTGCTTTATAACAAGTACACTTAGAAAGTAAACAGGCCAGTAGTCATGATTGACTCTGTTCTTTTACATTTGTTGCTTCTGGGCCTTGCTTTTATATTCTTTACATGTTAAGTTCATATATGTGTTTCATACTAAGCAGTTCCTACTCTTGGTGTAAGGAATTGGCTTTTGTTTAGGCCTTGACTTCTGCTGCAAAGCAGACTTACGTTCTTTCAGTTTAGAAGACAAAATACTAGAGTGCAGCTACTTCATTGAGAATTGATGGAGTTAGAAAATTTTGTCAACAGAAAAAAAGAGTTGCAAACCTGCTAATTTATACTACAACGGGTTAAAGGGAAGCCTGAAATTCTCCTACACAATGAATAGTTCCATTTTTTAATGTACTCACACACAATTTGAAAAAGCCACTCTTGCCTGGTAGTTTTTGACAGCCCCCAACTCGCTCTCGCTCTCTGTCCCCCCCCCCTGCTTGTTAAGTCTTACTGCATAGGACTTGCGTTACTCCCCGCTCCCTCCCTTGTTAGAAGAGGACCAAACAGTGGAGGTATGGAGTAATGGTAGCACTACTTGTCAATGTGATAAAGTGCTTTTTATGCTTTTTTTTTTTTAATTGGAACATTCTTTCTCTGATCTTTGACCATAGACGATCTTATTTGTTGATTATGAGCAAGTTTCTGGACTGCTAGAACCTGGCCTCTGGCCATCTTAAAGTGCCAATGTATGCCTGCAGGGTTTTTGAAAATGGTTCGGAGTGACACTGGGTTATACCGAGTACTCACCTCATCAGCATCCCATGCCGCTCTCATTTGTCCATGATAGCGTAAGCAAAGAGGGAAAAGCTCACAGACAACTTCTCCTTCCATGATGGCTTGTGTTGGCTTAGTGCCTGTGACCCTGGTAGTGCCCAGTGTGGTCACGAGAAACTGAAATATCCATGTGTTTCTGGGCAGCTCTTCTGCTCAGCGTGATCCTGAGATGGCTCCCCGCCACCCAGAGTGTGGTCCCTGGCCGCCTCCTTCTCCTGCTCTGCAAGCCCAAGTTGGCTTCCCTGGAGCAGGGGCTAGTCCTGGGGTGTGTGTGCCTGTCTGCGCATGCAATATGCGCATGAAAGAGTGCTTGCCAACTCAGGAACTGCCTCCTCCCTGCCCTGCTGGTGGTGGGTGTGTCAGAAATGCCTCCCACCCCCTGCTGGTGCCAGCAAGGCCCAATGAGTGACTGATTCCACTCACTGGGCTTCTGGACCACTTCTTCCCTATAGATATGGGCTTGCGGCCTTTGGCCAGCTTCCCTGGTGGAGGAGAGCAGTGGATTATGGGAAATGTTTTAATCATTTTGCCATTACTTACATCTGTTGACATAGGTGACCAAAAGCTGTTATTGGTGACAAGGATTACTTTACGAAATGATCTCTCAATTGTTTCCTAGTAAAGGAGATGACAGGTTGTAGTTTTGGCAAAGCATCAATAAAATAAAGGTACATTGTCAATTAAAATTACTTCTACAAAGGCTTTTGTTTTAAAAAATTATGGTTAAACATTTCAGTAACTCATAGCTACCATACAAATTGGTAAGCCTGACCAGAAGGCACTTACTCTTAAGCCAGAGGAGAAGGAATTTTGTTTAGCACTAATCTAATGGAGTCCTGTCAGATAGTTGGGCTGGGTGTGATAGCCTTAAAGGGGCAGCATCCACCCCAACTCTTACTGTGACTTAGCTGCCCTCCATATGGCGTGGCAAGTACAGTTCACTGAGGATGGGAGAACATAACTCTATATTAGTTATTATTATGTTTCAAAAAAGGACATGTCCACTTTCTGACCTCTGCTAAGAACTGTGGGTAAGATTGGAAAGCGGGACCTAAACTAAGAAATTTTATGTTCAGAGCCTGTTCTCTTACCTGCATTTTCAGCAAAATGAAAGATAATGCGCTTGCTTTGGTTTTCTTTGGTAATCTTGAACTCTGTAGTTTGTAAAAATAGGAACCATTGTTCTGACAGGGCTGGCAGCTGTAGTGTAAAACACAACTTTATTAAGCAGAAAACGCTGTAGATGCTTTTCCCCGCATACCTGGAAGTCTTCATCGTTGTTCATACTGGGGATAAGGGTAACTAGGCTAGCGGTTCTAATGCAGCATTCTTTAATCATATCGTAAGATAGTATTTAAGTAAACGGTCTCATTTCTACATAATTATTGCACTGAACTGTCTTTTTTTTTAAGGTGTTTAAATAAGCTCAGCTAATTGAGTACACTGTAGGCAACTGTGCATCAGTGTGCTTGACTCTAGCAGCTTACAGCATTATTTATGAAGGAAAATATATAAATATGAAGTACCTCATGTTGAATGTTATTGTACTGTATTTTTAATGTAACAGTGCAGATCTTGTTAGACACATGAATGTGTATAATCATGTTAAATGCAAATAAAGTAAAACTGGTTCATAGATTCGCTTTCTTAGCATTTTTGTTTCTCCCTTGAAGTAGTAAAAAAAAAAATTGTCACTTTGGGTACCACTGCATTTTACAGTGATCATTTCACAGGAGCATTTATATGTGAAGTTTTCAGTATCTTTCATTCCTAAAGAACATGAAATTTGAGGTAAAAGCATAAGAGAACAATGAGTATGTTAATCAGTTGCATTGTTCAAAGCCTGACTGTTCACTTAATGAGAGTGAGTGAATGGCTGCATTTATATTCCAGTTATGGAATTTGTGGTTGGCTGGCATTCCAGGCTACAGTTGCCATAGTTGCTTAAATGTCTATCTCCCCTTGCTAAGCGGGTGTTGTGCTGAGCAGCATCTGGGTTCTGATGGGACCTGTATTGCTGTTTCCCAAGATCTTAATTGGATCCAGAAATAAACTGCCAAATAAGAATTTTAGTGGAGTTGTTATATAATCAGTTCATTTCCCATTCTGTTCCCCAGTGTTCCTGCTTGTTGGTCTTTTGGATAACAATCAGGTGTATCTCCCTGTGTCATGTACATATTGCACATAACACACCTATGTACTTATAATATAAATATAAATATGTATTTATAATCACACATATATAGTTACGCATCCATACATATTTTTCCTATGCACCTCTCCAACACTTTTCTGCTAGACTTTCTTGTGAATCCTGTATGTTTGTTGAGCCACTTCACCTGTCTCCTTCGGACTCTACTGTTTGCTGACTCAAAATGGTTTCTGGAATTATTCCTAAGCATGAGAACTGGAATCCCCCACCCATATCCCCATCAGCTTAAGGACAGATAGAACCTGAATTGCAAAGATCTTTAATCCACCAAGGTCTCAGCTTTTATCTCTTCTTTGCTGCTATTTCTAGTTAATCCACATGTTTGTTTTCATTATCCCAAGTCAGTTGGGAGTGATCCAACTCCTTTGTTGGAACCAAAGATTAACATCTCACAGAAGTTATACCTTCCTGGTTGGCTGGCTTGCCTGCGAAGACTGTGGACCAAAATTGCAGAGAAAACTGGAAAGTGGAAACCAACTGGTATAAAATGTAGGGGGCCCCAAGAAGTACGTGTGCTGAAAGTGTGTGTTGAGTCTTGAAGAAGCTTCCGTAGAATTCCCAGGTGATATGTTCTTACCACAGTGAGTGCCTTCCACTTACCAGTTCTTTTTCTTGTTCTAAACTTTACCCTCTGCTTTTTAAATATATATTCTAACAAAACCACTTCTGGAGAATTTTCTTTCAAAATAGAATTTATACATTTAGTTCCATTAACATTGGTGGGTGGGAAGTTTCCCAGTTGAGAATTTGCCAGCATCGGGTGAGATGAAAATGTTTGTAAAAATGGATAGCTGCCACTGAGGATGCCACAGTGCCGAGCATGTAACTCTGGCTGCCATCGTCTGACCTCTGAGGAATGTTTGGTCACATTTTCTTCCCATCAACCTTTCCCCCTCTCTTGTCTTCTCTATACTTTCCTAGGGCAGTGGAGGTGGTTTCCATTATGCAGCTCTGTCCTTACAATTACAGTTTAGTTGCCTGTCTGCCGAAATGTTCAGAGGAAAGCATTTTTGCTAGCAGATACTATTTTATACTCTTAATGTCTTAAAAGCCCCTAACCTCAAGGTAAGTTGAACAGCGCTGCCACCTCTGCGATTTGGTCCGTGTGCAGGACAATTAGTTACTCGCCACACGCCCCTTTAAGCTGCTGGGGACAGGCAGAGTGGTTGTACCTTAAAGGTTTCTGTGAGGCAGTCTTTCTTCACTAAGGCCACAGCAGTATAAAAAGTGACTTAAAGAAGGACATATTTGGTTTTTATTACATTGGGAGCTGTTTTGTATTAAATAGACTTCTTTTATGCCCATTATTTCATTTGTTATTATATAAGAGAGATTATGCCAGACAAAAGTTAATAAGAACAAGTCATATGAGTGACCTTGTTAATTTTAACATGAAGATGTTTTGTGTGAAATAGAATAATCTGAGATGTTTTTGTATGTGGCCCTCTTCACCGGGGCTGTACAATTTGCATTTTTTTTCCTATCAAAAGAATGATAATGACTATTTAAAAGCCCATGAATAATATTTCAAAGCTTGAAGTAGAGAGTACTACCTTCTGTTACCCTGTAGAATGCATGAAAATGTTTGGAGACATTCTGTACATCTTAGAGAATTCTCATTATAGTGCCTTCCAAACTAAATTTTAAATTACTTCAGCATCTCTTACTACAGTGTTGAAAATGCATAAATGCTTAACTAATTCAAAATTGAAAGTTGCCATCGATCTTTACTCTTAAAGAAAAATTGCATTTCTAGGAATATTTATGGATAGTAGTGGATAGACTATCAATGTCTACTCCAGCATGACGCAGAAGGTTTAACGAGTCATTCAGAGGATTAACCCATTGCTCATTCAGTCATTGATCTTTTATTGGTGCTTTGCTTCCTCACGAGCAGTCAGAGGTGCAGCGAGGCAGGCCAGGAAGATGTATGCTATAGTTTTGGGAAATTGTGGCCAAGGTCCAGGATGCTTTAATGTTAGATACAGAAGAAACAACCTAGATGCCCTTCAATTGAAGAATGGATGAAGAAAGTATGGAATATATACATATTAGAGTACTACTCAGCAGTAAAAAACAAGGACTTCTTGAAGTTTGCAGGCAAATGGATGGAAATAGAAAACATCCTGAGTGAGGTAAGCCAGACCCAAAAAGAGGAACATGGGATGTACTCACTCATATTTGGTTTCTAGCCATAAATAAAGGACATTGAGCCTATAATTCGGGTTCTTAGAGAAGCTAAATAAGAAGGAGAACCCAAAGAAAAACATATAGGCATCCTCCTGAATATTAACCTTCATCAGGCGATGAAAGGAGACAGAGACAGAGACCCACAATGGAGCACCGGACTGAAATCTCAAGGTCCAAATCAGAAGCAGAAGGAGAGAGAGCACAAAGCAAGGAACGCAGGACCGCGAGGGATGCACCCATACACTGAGACAAGGGGGATGTTCTATTGGGAACTCACCAAGGCCAACTGGCCTGGGTCTGAAAAAGCCCAGATTAAAACTGGTCTCGCTGAACATAGTGGACAATGAGGACTACTGAGACCTCAAGAACAATGGCAATGGGTTTTTGATCCTACTGTACCTATTGGTTTCGTGGGAGCCTAGGCAGTTTCGTGGATGCTCACCTTACTAGACCTGGATGGAGGTGGGTGGTCCTTGGACTTCCCACAGGGCAGGGAACCCTGATTGCTCTTTGGACTGACGAGGGAGGGGGACTTGATTGGGGGTGGGGGAGGGAAAGGGGAGGCGGCGGTGGGGAAGAGACAGAAATCTTTAATAAATAAATAAATAAATAAATGAATGAACGAATAAATAAATAAAAAAAAAGAAGAATCAGCCATAAGGGACTGAGCCCTGTTGCCCAAAAGTTCTGGTGTAGGCCTTAAATAGAGCCTAGTGACTATATCCAACAGACTACCTCATGAGTCAGTGCTGCTGTCCACAGATCACATGGTATCCCTGACCCAGAAAGAGTAGAACAAAGGGCTTTGGATACAAATCGGCAGAGCTGAAAGGCAGGAGAGGAAGGCTAGAGCTTCTGGTAGATCGTTAGCAACGTGTGCATCAGCTTCAAGAGGGGAGATAGATGATTTCTGGCATAGATGGGCAGATCATGGTGTGGAGCCCAGAAGAAAATCCCAGAACAAATAGATGGAGACATCCCAGTATGGCCCCAGTGTAGGTCCGCGTAGAATGAAGACACATCCTGTGTGCAGTGTTTAGAATAGGATACTGACTTAGCAGGGACAGGAAGCAAGTATTCCATGTATCAGGCTCATTTATCTTTTTTTTTTTTTTTAAAGCACAAAATAAGGCAGTGACACGTAAGGGATTTCAGAACAGACAAGACAAATTTGTGTTTTAAGCACTGAGCTCTGGGCAGGGTAGGCTGGATCAGTCTGGAGGCCGAGAGAACGTTGGGTTGGGAGACTAATGCAGCTTGGAAATGCTTAAAAGGATGCAGATTATAGAAGTGGAGAGGGGAGATCCCCAGAGTATGGTTGAGTTTTGAAATACCCCATCTTAAAGGATCTTAGCAAAGATGGCGAAACCTCTCACCTTTCTCTTGATTCTTAGGGAGTTTTGTCTGACCTAAGTAGTTGTGTTATAGAAACCCTTCAAGATTCTCCCCTTGCTTTCTTTAAAGAATAAGCTAAAATAAAATGTAGACACGGTGTACTACTGGCTAATGGCTCAGCCTGGACTGGCTGCTAATGCCAGCTACTTTTAAACCTTGGTTCAATCTGCATGGGACCCGAAGCAAGTTGTTCTGCCTCTGAACCTCCCATCTCTGCAGGGAAGCGGTGAAAATGCCTTTCTAGAAGAGTTAGGTGACAACAGTTAATATTCCAAAACACTTGTGACAATGCTTGGTGAACAGAAAATGCGCCTATAAATGCTAAGTGGAACAGAGATGGAGAGTTACCAAGTAAACCATAAACGTTCCTCGCCTGAGCATATGTACTTTCAACTTACACATTCTTGTAGCAAGTTGTCCATGGTGACAGGGGGAGAAGGCCTCAGTGCTGTTCTTTTACGTCCTCACACTCAATAGCCATCTAGTTTGTAAAGCTACAAAGGCCTGTATTGTTGAGGAATTGTCATACTTTAATTAGATTTCTAATAAGAGCTTTAATTTTCTCATGTTAATGAGATACAGAAATGATTTATTATGGTGTGGATGTTTCTGGCACATCAGATGCCTTCACTGCAGGATCTTTCAGATGACTGTAAAAACTGGAGGAGGATGCAATAAAGGATTCTCCAGACATTTTTCCAACAGAAGTCCATCATTTGAAGGTTTTTTTTAATCTATTAATTTCAATGTTAAAAATAACTTCTTATTGTATGGTGGTCTTAGGTGATTTAGGATGTACCTCCTGCAAATATTTTATGATTAAAGAACAATGGCAATGG